AAAGAGTAGGAAGGGGAAGCAGAAGCACCTTTGGAGGCAGGAGCAAGTCTTGGGTCGGAGCACCAGCAGGACACCATTATTCCTCAGTGGAGCAGTATAGTAGCAATGGGGCTAAAGATGGGCTAGGACATCCTGATAATAGCCAGGCATCCTGACTACTTGACCTAGCTGCTGGCAGGGCTCAGGGGATGCTTCTAACTCACACAACCAGCTTAGAATTCAGGATGGTGAACCAGAAAGTTAGATGAGAAGAAGACCGTTAACCAAAACCCTTCCCAGACCCTAAGGATCCATGGCTTGAAACTTAAGATCAGCAGGGAATCAAAGATTGGGGAATCCTGGGATTGTAGCTTCCCTCATTTGTCTGTACACACACACACACACAGAGTGACCCATTCACCCCTTTACCTGTGGGGCCTCATTCTTGCTGTTCTTCCTGCCTGGAACTCTTGTCCTGGAAGCACAATATGTGGACAAATGACTAGACAGTCTCTCTTCTCTCTTTCTCTCTCTCTCTCTCTCTCTCTCTCTCTCTCTCCGTAGCAAGAACATGCCCAGAGCATGTAGGAGAGTTCTGGCTGGTCCTGGCCTGGGATTGACCCAGTACTGATGCTTCTAGTGCCACATGCAGAATCCAAAATTGGAAAGAGACCAGGCAGGGTCCTAGGCACCCCACTCTTTCCTGTCTGGTCTTCAGAGGAGCTGTTAGTCCTGTCCTGCTGGATTGAGCCTCGGGCTGTCATAATATCCTCTCTGATGAGTAAGATGACATCCAGGGACTGAGGTCTCCTGAGTAGTGAAAGATTCCATGCCACTCTTCCTCAAACAGAGTGTGGGATGGGATCCAGAAAGAGGGTACCAGGAAGGGGAGCCCAGCTTGGTGCCCCATCCCTGCAATGAGGAAAGTTCCTGTTGAAAGATGTTTAGGCAAAGCTGAGCATCTGCTGGTCCATCTGCCTGTGTGTCTAGGTAAATGTCTACCTGGCTCAGAACCCAATCCGTGACTTAGTCATCAGGGTAAGAGGTCTCCCCAGCACTTGGCTGTTATAGGGACCAGAGTATGACAGGGATAGAGTGTGGCTGTCAGGGCCACGGAGCTTTAAGGAGAAGAGAACCCTGATAGAGAGCCAAGAGAGTCCTGACTGAAGGATCAAAGCTGGCCCACAAGAAAAATGTTATCGAACCCTTGGGCCAGACCTTGGTACATTCTAACACTTAAAGATCTTCTAATTCTTGTTGACATTTTGTGACACTAGTATGGGGCCAGATTCCATTTAACTTACTCCATGTGTGTAGGTGGCATTGCATCTGGCTGGGGACCCAGAGTAAGCAGGGAGAGCAACCCCCTGCCAGGCTTAAACTTGCCTAGCCCTAGTCCACAGTGAAGCCAGACACTTGTCACAGACTGAGCACTGATCCTAACTATAAATTAGCTCTCATGCTCTCATCCTTCATACACACCGAATCCTGATTTCACTCCCTTCTTATTAGGGCTGGAACCTGGAATCTTTGCAAAGTTACTGCTAGGCAAAAACTCTATGGCTGGAAGTATACCTCTAGTTCTCTCTTTACTTATTTTTGAGACAAGATCTTGATGAGTTGCCTAGGCAGGCCTTGAATTTACAATCTTCTTGCCTTAGCCTCCTAAGAGCTAGGCTTTTGAGCCTGCAGGTCTAGACTGGTTTGGTCTCATTTATTTACTTACTTATTTAAGTTTTAGACAGGGATTTACTATGTAGACCAAGCTAGCTGCCCTCAAACTTGTGATGATCCCCCTGCCTCTGACTTCTAAGTGCTAGGATTGAAGTATATACCACATACCTGGCTCCCTAGGAAACTACAACTTTTCCCACTGTGGCATCAATGAATGAACTCCAGTTTGACAGTCTGAACCCAGTCTGGCCTGGAGGATGCCAGAGGGGCAGACAGGAACCCAGTGTCTTTTTGTTTGTTTGTTTGTTTGTTTGTTTGTTTTGTAGGAACCCAGTGTCTTATGAGTAAGCCTCACTCTTTACAGTAGAGCCATCAGGATCTTCCTTAGCCTTAGTCTGTTGGGAAAGCAGTAGTCCTGCCCACCTGATGGGGTGGAGCAAAGGGTGATCACACCAAGCTCCATCCTCCTCCTCATGGGCAGAGGCTTCTTGGCAGCACCAGGGACACTAGGTAAGACCTGGGCACCCAGGGAACACAGTGAGGGAAGGAGAATGAAGGCACAGGTGTGTGTTTACAGGCTTGGGGATAGGTCATGGGGACTGGGGAAGGGCAGCTTTGGGAGAATGGGCATAGTGGAACCAGGATTGCAGGAGGGAGCTGTCAAAGCCAAAGCCAAAGCCATCTCATGTTCCTGGGAGGCGTCTCTCCCATAGCACCTCTCAGCTTAGCGGTGAAATGTCTCTCCAAGGACAGTGGGGAAGAGGCAGCAGCCTCCTGACGTACAGCAGTGCCTACAGATAGCAAATGTCAGAGAAATCAAGAGAGTGGTCTGGATGGGAAGGCCTGTAGGACTGTGGATCTGTGACCTGGGAGAGAGCTGTGCCATAGGCGATGGTTTCCCCTCTTAGAAAATATTTCCAGTAGCTGTGTCTATTGGTACAGGAATCTAACCCCAGCTACAAGGAAGGCTGAAGCAGGAAGGTTGCAAATTCAAGAATTGTCTAAGCTACAGAGTGATTTCAAGTCCAACCTGAGCCATTTAGTGAGACAATGTCTCAAGATTTTAAAAAGGAAAAATTAAAGGACTGGGACTATAACAGGCAGCACCTTTGTGCAACATGGCAAAGTCCTGCTTCAACAGTCAGTTAAGCAATATAAACAAATAGACAGACAGACACCTTCCGGTGGGAGGGTTGTGCCCAAGTAGAAGGAGCTGGAGGTTGGTAGGATCCTGGCTGGGACTCCCCAGGCCCAGTTGCTAATGGAGGATTCCCTCCTTCGGGGTTCTAGCTATTTTCTCCCCATCGAGGCTCTGCTGACCAAGAACAGTACTGACTCCTGGGACTGGGTTGGTCCAACAGAGGCCAGGAGACTTGGGGGGAGGAGGAAGGCTGCAAGCAAGAGTTAGAGGGTTGAGCATGAGGCCACTTCCCGTTTATCCCTGAGCCAAGAGTGCTAAGGAGTTCAAGGCTGCTTCGGCTAGTCTCCAGCAGTGTGAGTGGTCATGTCTTAGCTTTCTAATGCTGTGATAAAGACTATGATCAAAAGCAACTTAGGGAGGGAAGGGTTTGCTTGGCCTGTGGGTTGCAGTCCATCATCAGGCAAAGAGAAAGCTGAACTCAGGGCAGGAACATAGAGATAAGAACTAAAGTAGAGGCCATGGAGGAAGGCTGTGCTGCAATGGCTTGTTCTCCACAGCTTGCTCAGCTGGTGTTTTGTTTTGTTTTGTTTTCCGAGACAGGGTTTCTCTGTGGCTTTGGAGGCTGTCCTGGAACTAGCTCTGTAGACCAGGCTGGCCTCGAACTCACAGAGATCCACCTGCCTCTGTGCTGGGATTAAAGGCGTGCACCACCAACACACGGCTTCAGCCATCTTATTAATACACCCCAGGACCACCTGCCTGGGTGTGCCACCACCCATATCAATCATTATTCAAGAAAATGCTCCCATAGACTTGCCTACAGACCAATATTATGCAGGCATTTTCTCAGTTGAAATTCCTTCTTAGATGACTTTAGATTGTGTTAAGTTAAAAAAAAAAAAAAAAAGAACCCTAACCAACATAGGACAGGGCAGACATGGAACTGCAGCAGCTTGAAAAGGGTCTGAAAAGACCCCTTCTACCCAAAGCCCCTGCCACCTTCACATACCTAGTGCAAGGCTCTGACCAGAACTCTAGGAAGGACCACTAGCATAAATGGGGCTCTCTCCTGATCTGCCATATTCCAGGCCCTCCCTGTCTGATGGAATGGAACAGAGGCTAGGGCAGGGGCTTTAGGTAGAAGTGCTCTCTCTCTCTCTCTCTCTCTCTCTCTCTCTCTCTCTCTCTCTCTCTCTCTCTCTCTCTCACACACCCACCCCAACCACCAAACACACACACACACACACAGACACAAGGGCTTTAGGTAGAAGTGCTCTCTCTCTCACACACACACACACACTCTCTCTGTCTCTCTCTCTGTCTCTCTCTCTCTCATTCTCTCTCTCACACACACTCTCTCTCTTTCTCACACACACACACACACACAGAGAGAGAGAGAGAGAGAGAGAGAGAGAGAGCTCACACACCATAGTTAGCACCTTGTTATCCTCACCACCCATCTCTGACTACGGTTGTCGTTATATCCTCTACCACCAAAATACCACTGGAACTCCCTCCCCTCCTGAAGACAGAAAAAGAACTCTCCTCATCCATCACAGCTCTAGGAAATGACCTGGCTGGGGTGGTGAGGGAATAAAGAAATGACAGACTTGGTCACATGCACAGAAATCTGGGACTGGGTGGACTGGGCTCTCTAATAGAGCACAGCATGTTTATTATATACAGTTGAACAGGGAGGTGAGGTCATTGCTTACAGCTGAGTTGAGGAGGTGGGGTTAATGCACACAGATGCATTAACAAGGAATGCAATCACAGATGATTCCTTGTTCAAGGAATCAGAGTTATTATATACTGCTGAACAAGGAAGGGCAGGTTTAACAAATCTCAGTAGAAGCAGTCTGCCAGGGAGCCTTGCCTAGGAAAGGTTTTGCCATTTCCCATGGGTCTGAGGCATTGGCATCTGTCACGTGGCCAAGCCCATGTCAACAGCACACATCCACTCGGGACATCACTCACTCAGGGCTTCCCCCATGCCCAAAATGACATTTGACTCTGGACAGCTACTGGCAGAAGTGGATAGCTGTGTGATGGGTGTGGAACTCAGGCCATCTGGCATTTTAGGCAAGAGCACTACACTAAGTTCTACCCCAGCCTGATGAGTCCTTTCCTGAAGGGGACTTGCAAAGGACATCATTGTGTGTCACCTGGCACTGCATCCTTGGAAGTCTTGGCAGGAGCCTGCAGCATGGACAAACAGTGGTTTTCTGCAGCTGGAATTCTCCTGGCCGGTAAGAGAGTAGGGAAGGGGAGGGGAACTCGCTGCCCTCTCCCCATCACCTTTACTTGATAAGGAAAGGCAGAACCCTTCTCAGCAAACTCCAGGACTCCCACTTCAGGGCTTCCCTTCATTGTCTACATGTTTTCCTGGCCTTGACCAGCCTGAGGATTGCTAGGGATAGAGACCTCAGGCTCCCTGAGAGCACTCAGGGTTACCTGCTTGGAGCTGTATACATGTGTAGGTAGGTTTGGTGTTAACCCTAGAGCCTTCAAAAATTCCCCACATATGTGCTCCATCACCCAGTCAACCCCTAAGAAGAACCCTGTATGCAGGGAACATGGTCAGGTCACAGTCTCACCCACAACAGAGAATCAGACAGTATTTTCAGCACCATCAAGCTAGTCTAGGCCTCAGACGTGGTTTAGATAGAGTATGCAAGACTCTCAACTCCTAACAACCACTTGGGCCTGAGAGACTTCCCCTTGGGAAGGTCCTTGATATGGAGGTTGTTAGGAAACAGATGACAAACCCTGAAGACATGTCCCATTGTCCTCACAGTGTCTATTACTAGGTGGAGGTAAAGGCATCCCTGGTGTCAGCCAGGCTAGAATCAGGGAGGGGAGGTAACTTGAGTGACTAGCTTCATAGTTTGGGGGCTAATCAGGACCAAGTGTTGCTCTCAGGTACCTAAGTGAGTCAGATGTGACAGGGTGAGATCTGAGAGGCCAGGGGTCAATCCTGCCCAACAGACACTGGAGAACCAGGCCTTTCTTGCTTTGCAGCCTTCCTGATAGTCTCAGCTTCTACCCTGACACTTCTCTCTACACATGAAGACATTAATCAGGTTCCTTCAGCCCCTGACACATCTGCTCAGCAAGGTAGCGGCATTTTGGGCATCTTGACAGAAACTATTGGTGGCATCAATTCAGTGGAAAGGGAATCGGAGGCCCTGGAGAAGAGGGCAGGAGCCCTTTCTACAGAGGCACTGGGGGGCCAGGAGTCCCCCTCCATGCCTGGCCCCTTAGGAAGTACCAAACCCTCAGGCAGGGTCAAACCTGGACCAATCCCTCCAGCCCTGAACACATCTGCAGCCCACATGACTGTTGCCTCTCAGCCAGGGTCCTCTGGAGCTGACCCTGGAGAGGAAAACGTGGCCTCTGGAACCCTAGAAACAATTGCTATGTCATTGCCACAGACTTCTCCCACACGTGGATCTGAGCAGTTCAGCAAGGTCCCCAAGTTGTGCTGGACAGTCCCTGCCACAGCATCATCGGAGACAACTGTTGCACCTAAACCAACATGGCATCCAATCAGGGCTTCCCTTTTCCCCATATTCCCTAGAGCTCCATGCCCGTTACTGAGCACCTCCAGTTCCCCTGCGTGGAGGGATGGCCATTCCAGATCAGAGGCATCCCCACCTGTGACACTGGCTCCAAGGAGCCCCTTAGGATTGCCTATCTTGCCATGGATGCCTAACACACTGAAGGCAACAGAGCTCCCGTTGCCTGCATCTTCAAGGAGATCAGGACTGGAACTGACCTCCCAGGCCTTTACAGTGGGCTCTGGGTCGTCTGAAAACCCTATAGCTTTGGGCACAGGCCCAGTATCCAGTGGTGCTCCTGGGCCGTTGCTGTCCTCAGCAACGTCACCTTCACATCCATCCTCCCCCTACTCCCCACCCTCCTCACCTGAATTGCCCCTGTCTTCATCCCCACCACCTGCATCTTTGTCTTTCTTCCCACCCCCATCCTCAATCCCAGCCTCAGTTTCCTTTGTCACCACAGGAGCCAGGGACCCTCCTAAACCTTCTGTGTCTGTGACTGCACCCTCGACTACAGACTCTTCCATTAAGACCTCGAACCTTGCACCCCCGATGGCCCTGCGACCCAGCCATCCTGGGCCATGGGATCCTACCAGCCTGATCCACCTGCCCACTTTCTCCCTCCAACATTTCTCCATCCTCCCCTCTGCCCCACACAGCTCTGGCTTCACCAAGTTATCTGGGGTTGCTGACCCTACCCAGTCCTCTACCCTGCTTCACCCTGGCCAAGATGTGTCTTTGCAGGACTTGAGTCCCTCCACCCCAGGACCTAGTCATGTGGCTCACTCTGTGACCTTCAGGATCAACAGTAAATGCTTCACCACAGCCGTCGGGAACCTGATACCCCTGAAGCGAAGGCTGTTGAAGAGGCTTATCTGCTACCAGGTGTGGCACCTGCTCCCTGGGGAGAGGGATGTGGATGAAGGCACTCTTTCCGCTCTGCCTTCCTTCTGAGTACGCCAGGCACAGCCACAACACATGCTGCACAGATCCGTGGCTCCTAAGAGCAGCCAGACACAACATAATAAAATCTAATGAGTACCATGCTGCGCTCCCAGGAGGAGTCTGAGGAGAGGCTAGGCAGAAATACTTCTTAGAAGTCATTACAGAGGGAAAAATCTCACAGTCGGGGAGGCCTCACCTACCAGAAATAGAGCAGGTTCCCACTGTGCAGCTGCTGGCTTTTTATCAGCACATAGCTGATGCCCTGGCAAAGTGAGACACAGTTCCTGCCTTGATTCTGGAACCAGGAGCAGGGCAGGTACCCCAGACAGGAACTGCCATTTCTCACCTGCCATACAGGGTGAAATCTCCTGCTGAATGGCTCATTTCTGTGTGCAATTGGGAAACGACAGGAGCAAAGGACTGCTCCTGCCACAGGATCTACAGTCCTCAAGTCTGCTCAAAACCAGATTATAATCACTACAAGCTGTGGCAAAGAATTCACGGGACTAGCAAACTGCTGGGTGGTGTGCCTTGTACACACCGGGTGACCCCTCCACCACAGCAATGGATCCTCTTTTTTTTGTTTGTTTGTTTGTTTAGTTAGTTGTTTTGAGACAAGGTCTCACTGTGCAATGTGGCTGGCCTAGAACTCACTATGTAGACCAGGCTGGCTTGGAACTCCCAGAAATCCACCTGCCTCTGCTTCCCAAGTACTGGGATTAAAGTCATGTGCCACCATGCCCAGCCCTCTTTTTGATTTTTTTTTTTTTTTTTTTTGAGACAGGGTTAACCTGTCTCTGAATTGGTCCTTGGTCATTCCTCTCCAAAGTGCTGTAAGGCTCAGTGTTACCACATCTGGCCTGCTTGTGGATTTTATGTCTATTTGGTTGGTTGAGTGAGTTTCTGTTTTGTTTTCTTTTGTTTTCATTTGTTTGTTGCTTGTATTTGTTTATTTGTTTGAGCAGGTCCCCACTATGTAGCTCAGGCTGACAGTGAACCTGCCTCAGCTTCCTAAGTGCAGGGACCAAAGGCATGCACTGCCACACCTGGCACTGGAGAGCATTTTAACTGCAGTGGAGAAGGGTAGCATCATCAAACACTGAAGGGCTTCCCAAGCACCGAGGCAGAGAGAACACTGTTTGGGGGAACCCAAGTTGCAGAGGGACTAGCAAAGGACTCTGTGGTAAATGAGGATGGGAGTGGCAGCCCAGACTGGTGGCTGTCAGGATGCAGAGCCCAAAGGTGACTGGACTGCCGAGGTAAAGCATGTGCAGCCCCTGGACAGATGGACCCCCGTTAGGATCTCAGTACAAAGCAATCACAAGCCTCAGGCTACCAGAGGGGAACAGCCCTGGAAAGGCCCAGCTGGACCAGGATCAGGGATGAGACCGACAGAGGCCAGGGGAGATGGAGGGACACAAGGCAGGGGTGGGCATGCTGACCTCCGTGCCTCTGCCTCAGCTCCAGCTCATCTACCTTGAGGCCTTCTCCAGCTTCAAGAATGTCAGTGCCCTGCTATTTCGGTGAGTAAAGTTCTCAATTGACCTATGCCTTTAGAAGCCCTAGCCCAGACTGCTCAACCCTGCCTGAGTGTCCAGGAACACCTTGGCCCAGATGGGTGGGTAAGAGGCCCACATTTGTTCCTGCCACCAGCTGAGCTACATGACCTCAGTTGGCCTTCCTATTTGCTAATTCCAGCTGATGGGTTTGGATGATGATATCAGGATTGTCTGTGTACAGTGAGAAGGCAGGCAAAGAACGCATCCGGCTACTTATTCTGGGGACAAGGTCATGTAAATGATATGTAAATAAATGTAAACCTTGGGTGGAGCTCTCTCATTCTGAGCTGCTAGGAAAGTGGACCACCTCCAGAGTTGGTGGGAGGGGGCTGGTTTTCCAGGCCTCCATCCCAACTGCCTCAAAATTTTTCCCTTTTGCCGGGTGATGGTGTCGGCACAGACCTTTGATCCCAGCACTTGGGAGGCACAGGCAGGGGGATCTCTGTGAGTTTGAGTCCAGCGTGGTTTACAGAGTGAGTTCCAGAACAGCCAGGGCTACACAGAGAAATTCTGTCTTGAAAAAAAAAAAAATCCCTTTTACTAAACTGAAGTCCACTTCTGTGACTTCCCTGCCCTGAGACTGAGACCATTTTTATCTCCCAGTCCTGGGATGGTGCAGGTGCTCACAGGAAGAGCAAGTGTTATTTTAGATTCTGAGGCTGTTTATTTCCAGGTCTCTCCCTGAGAGCTGCCTGAAGGAGCTGCCTCACCCAAAATGTGATCAATTGGTCCTTCTCCTCTGGGCTTTCAAAAATCCCTCAGGCCTGTGACTTCCCTCTCTCCAGAGCCCCCTACTTCTTGAACCGCAGCTAAGGCTTTTTCTGTGTTCACTAGACCTCTGGAGAGACCCAAGCCAGCTGTGGCCTCTTCGAGTAACACCTTACCCCAGTCTTTCCCTGGACAAGATTCCCAGTGTCCCTGTGAGAACCAGCTCATTGAGGAGTCCAAGGGAACTTACTTTAACCGAGCACCTGTTGCATGCATGCCTGCCTGCATCCTTCATGCCTCACAACAGCCCTCTAAGAAGGGGATCTTAACCCCATTTACCAAAGAGCCCCAGCACCAAAGGGGTCATGCTCCAGTCACGCGGGGAGGCTCCTCTCTGCAGCTACCAGCTGCCTGGTAGGCTTCTCTCCTTCAGCACACTAACTTCTGTACCAGCCAGGCCTATCTTGCCCTCATTGGCCCCCTCCTGCAGGCCTGATTCTACAGAAGTGAAAGCCTCACTCGTGTTTGGTCAGCCGGATCCCTCAGCCCTAGAAATTCTCTGGGCTTTGTACCGCAAAGTGAAGGCCTCCAGATGGTTGCTTGGGCACCTGTCCCTGGCTGACAACAGCATCACCTCTGATGGTGAGTCTAGAGCCCCATGCCTCCTCAGCCGTCCATGGAGGAGTCTGGCTAGACTCCTTGGAGGGATCCTGCTCAGTCTACCCAAGCCCTAAACAGGCCATGGTGGGAAAGGTGGCTGTTCCAACTGCCCAGACTGCTGTATGTGGCTCTGTAGAGTACAACATAGCAGACCTTACCCGGGAAACCATCAGCATCACCTTCATACTCATGAGGCCCTTCCTGCCCCAGCTGCTTCTGCCTGGCTCCCAACCTTTTATCCTATTGGAGAAGCAGATCCTCCAGCTGGTGAGGTGTCCTCTCCCCTGCTTCTGGGACTGGAATGTTCTCCCTGCCTCCCTTGTGAACAGGCCTGTACAGCTCTTAGTGGTGGGGGCAGTGATGGCCAATGTAAGCAACACCAGGAGGGGAGATGGGGGGAAGCAAAAAGGGGGGGGGGGGGGCAGCCTGCCCTGAGGAGAAGCTGTTTATGGAGGAGAAAGCTCTAAGGGAAGTCAGTGTCACCACAATCCCTGCCCAGGAGACCACACTAGACTAGAGAAGGCTCTCAGGTCCTGCCTTATCTATCTAGAACCTGGCCCTATCCCATACTGGGTCTCAGGACAGGCATCTCCTAGGCAACCTGACCACCAGGACTTCCTATAGGTAACCCATGAGGTCTCAAGATTCTACAAGGCTAATCCCCATGACCAGCCCCTACTCCTATTCAGGTAGGTTGCATATCCCATCTTGTCTGTCCAGACCTCCTGTTGCCCCATCCCCGCTTCCCCAGCCTACTTGGCAACTCTCTTGGAGGTATATCACTAGGGCAACTCCACCCCTAACCCAAAGCCAGGAGATACAGGTGTAGACTGGAGACCACCAAGGACTTTGTCTAAGCAGGCTTGAGTCTGCCTCACAGAGCTCTGCTCTTGGAGATAGGAACATAGGGTATATACTTACATGCTCAACACTTGCTCTAGCAGCATGCACTAACCAAGAGCCATGACACTATACTCTCCCATCCTTCCCTAGCAATGTGAACGAGTGGGTGAGCATTTACATGGAATACAAGTTCAAGAGTCCCATCCCCACCCACCTCCGAGGCCTAGCCAGTTACCTGGCCCATCACATAACAGACCCCACCCTCCAGAAATCCAGCATGGTGGCCAATGGTGAGTGATCTTGGGCCCCATGTATGGCTCTGGATCAGTCTATCTCTCTAGGCCTCACTGCACACATACCCCAGGAGCAGAACTCTCAACAGCAAAGCTTGTGTGCCAGTCCATTGGGCAAAAATGGGTCCAGAGCTCTGTGGGAAACTTGGCTTGGAGATACAGATGGTCCAGTCAACTCTCAATCCTCACCTTAATCCTTAATGTCCCAAGAGAGGAGACAGCAGTTGATCAGCTCTATCACCAAGGTCAGAATTTCACAAAGATTGTCCCATGAGGCCCCTGAAAAGAAGAGTTGAGCAGGCTTGTACATCCACATTGGAGAAATCCAAGGACTTTTAATCTCCTGAAGCCACAACCTGGAGCTGTTCTGGGGCAGACCCTCAGCCCAGGAAGTGCTGATTCACTTAAGGGCTGTCCGGGCCACCTCCCCTCTACAGTCTCCCAGGTTGAGTGTTACCATCCAGTGGGCTTTGCTCTATAGCTCCCAGAGACAGAGCCTTGGTTTAGGTCCCTGCCCTATCTTTCTCAGAGCTGACTTTAAACACCCGGCATGTCTGCCCCATCAGTGTTGGCCCTCAAAGGCCCCGCCATCCCCTCAGCAGGCAGTGGGACTACCCTCTCCTCTTCAAGTAGGACTGCTATGTATTTCTGGAAGGCATTATGGGAGCCCCTCCTGGGAAATCAGGGATTGTAAAGAACACTACGGCCAGCAAGATCTCCTGCTGTCAAGTCTGTGTGAGCAGGCCAGACAACACCCCTCCATAAGACACTTCCGAGCTGGCAGATAACCACAAAGCTAGAGAGTTAATCTTTTTTTTTTTTTTTCTTTTTTTGCCCTTTGTGGCTCCTAGCTCCTCCCTTACAGGGAGAACATAGCCAGCCCTCTGAGGTATGTCACAGCAAGTGAGCTGGCTGTGCTCCAGTACAATTTCATATACAAACATGGAAATTATGTATCATATTCTCTTCACACCATACAATTTCCTACTGCTGACACTTTTCATCCACTTGAAAATGTAAGTCCATCTTACCTCATTAGTCTAACACAAGCAGGCAGCAAAAATGGACCCTCAGACCAAGTGTGCTGACCACTGGAGGGAAGCAGCGGGTTGGGCAAACAACCCTGGGCCAGGGTGTGGTCCTACCCCAGTGCTCTCAGAAGACTGAAGCCCTGACCGCTATCACCACCCCACCCCGTCGCCTTAGGGGAGAAAGCAGAGCTGGCACTTTATGAGACACAGCTCCTGATCCTGGGTCATCCCTTCGGCAAGGCCTTGGAGAACAAGACTAGTTCTGAGTCCCAGGAGCTTCGTGGACTGCTGACAAAATGGGTGATGTGAGGGGATGGAAGCACGGAGAAAGGGGGTGTGGCTGGCCTGGGCTGTGTAACCGTGACACTTTGTTGTCTTATGACCTCAGCTAACCTCAGTCCTCAAGCCTCTGCACAACTTTGGTCAAGTGGTGGTGGAGGAATTCCAGTGAGTCTTCAGTTCAGAGGGCGGGTCCTGGGGCTGGACGAGAGGGTCTCTCCATATTTCCCCAGCCCCCTAAAGCCTGTAATGATCCTCGCAGGCAGGAGCCACTGACTGCCAAAGTGCAAGCTGCCTTCTTTGGGGCTGCACCAGCCCAGGCCATCATTCAAGACTGCATGCACCGAGCCCTGGGCTTCCTGCAGGAAACTGAGGGTCTCCAGTTAGAGATGCTCATCCCAGTCCTTGGTCAGTTCCTCTCCCTCTGCAATCTCTGGCCTTGCTGTTTCTGCCAATCTGGCCCTTCCCTCCTGCACACAGCACTGCATGGCCATGTTTGCTCTTACCCTTCCCATGAGCCCCCAGGGTACAGAGGCTCCAAGTCTCCTGGGAACAGCCAGCAGGCCTACAAGTCTCTGAGGGCTTCGAGGATGGAAAATCCACTCAGCCTTTCCATTCTGCTCCAGGCATGCCCAGCTCCAGAGCCTCCAGAGGACCTAGCCATGGGTTCATGCTGAACCTCCAGCTCACTTCTCTCCATGTCCTGGTGAGTCTGGCCAGGCAAGAGCTATTCCCTAAGAAACAAGCTGAGCCTCTAAGGCCTTAACTCAAAAGGTCAGCAGCCTGCATACACCTGAACCTGAATTCTCTTCACATGCCAGCTAGAGCAGTATGCTTTCCACCCGAGGTTTGGGTTTGACCCCATGACTGCACCTCCACAGTTCAGGCTGGAGGACAAAAACCTGCACCATAGTAGTGGCTACACCACACAAGGTGTGGAGGCCCTTCTTCTGCCAGGCAAGCAGAGGCTAATCACCCTGGTTGCCCTAGGGAGATAGTGTGGAGATATCTCTGTGTGAACTACCTAACCTTCTGCTGATTTACTGCCACAGTGCTGGCTGGTACCATCCACGTAACAGGGATCTACCCTGCCTTGGGCAGAAGCCATGGGGTGATCAGGCTGACCCCTCCCAAAAGCCACTTGAGCTCTGAACATGGCTAGGATGACAAAAGTAGAACTTTGACCACAAGGGGAGAACGGGGACAGAGAATGGAGATGTGCAGAGGGGTCTCAGCTCCCACCACGTAAGGACGCTGTCAACCACATTCCAGGCCCTTGACAAGGCCCCAGATGATGCCAACTAAATTCCTGCCCACACTCCACATTGACCAGGTAGATGGGGGAGGACAGCACCAGCCAGCAATTATCTGACAGTTTTCTCACCACATAGCCCAGACTGATCTTTAACTTATTGCACCTCAAATTTGCAGTGGTCCTCCTGCCTAAGCCTCCAAGAGGTAGGGCATGGCTATCATGTTCCATTTTCTTTGTTTCTAGACATTTTTGACTCCTGGCTTTTGTCTCTTTTCTATATCCCCAGGTGGCCCTTGGTGCTGCTCTGCACTTCACCAAGAAGCAAACCCCATACCTCTCCTAGGTTACCTCACCCGGGGCTTCCAGACAGTACCTCAGCACTCAAGACTAAAGCTGCAGGATGCTAGAGCAGAAAGGGCAAGCCTGGGACTGACTTTCTTCAATCTCCTGCCTCACCCCACCTCCATAGTGCATAAAATTGGGGGAAACACTTGCTCCTGTGTCCATGGTTGCAAAGCCAGTCCATCGGGGGCTGCACATCCCCTCAGCTCCCACCTCTCCAGGAGGTGGGCAATGGTTTCTTTCACATAGGCTCGCCGCAGCATGCACAGGTGGGTCAGGACAAAAAGAGTCAGCCATAGAATGTCCTGCCAGGCCCTGCTGCCACCACACACTACCCATGAAATGGGGACCACACTTAGATGAGAAACCAAGAGCCAATGTGTATACACAGATCGTGCAGGGCTAGAGCCACGGTGAGTGTCCAGGATGTCATGTACATTGAACCCCTAGGGTGGTCATCACAACTTTGCCCAAGGATTTGTGTCCAGGCTACACCAGGACACAAATCAGCAGAGCACAACCACCCTGGCCAGCCAGAAAGGAGAGACTCCATAGCCCTTCCTGCTGAATAAGCAAGGGAGTCCCTGAAAAGGTTGCACTGTCAGTGTCTGGAGGTGACAGTCATGGAGGAGGCCCAGAAAGCATGCAAGAAAACAGCTGGCAAAAAAAACAACAGTACTTGCTGGCTGCCCTCAGTGGTGCCCCTCAGATGAAGTGACAGGTGGAGCTAGAAATACCCCTCCATCTCCAGCAGGGGGAACCAAAGAGGCACTCAGGCCATGCTCCCAGCTGCTTTGAGGAGCTGACAATGATCTGGACCAACCCCATTAGCAAACCAGAGAAGGCATATGCTCGTCAGCAAAGTCCATCTTTGCCACTACCCTATTTTCCTCTTTCTCAAGAACACAACTTAGGAGAAAACTGTTCCTCCATTCACCTGGCAGACCCCTGCTTGTCAGCAAAACTGGCTACTGGTGCCCTCAGCCTCTTGTCTTGTGCTTTAACACCAGGTTTCCCCATGCCGGAGCCTCTAAAACCTAAGCCCCCTCCTGGCATTAGCCCACTCGTGTGATGTGGGGGTCTAGCCATCATGCCTCGAGGCACATTTGCTCAGGCAGGTATGGAATAAGCCTTGGGGACCTGAGCAGAATGTAGAGGATCCCGCCAGCACACAGCAAGTCCAGAGTCTTCACACAGCCGCTGAGTTCATGTAACCCTGCAGCAAATCCTGTCCATGGGTTTACCATCTATAACTTGAAGGAACACGGTGGTGGTGTTACTCGGGAACCCCGCCCCCCACGCTTCCTGAGTCAGCTTGGGAATTTGATTAAACCCTCGTATCTACTCCCTAGCACTGGACACTGAGGCAGGATAGTTGAATGTTTGAGGCCAGCCAAGGCTGCATATATACAGAGACAGCAGCTAGTGATGTGTGAACAGGTTTAAAGGGCATTGGGGATGGCCTCAAAATCAGGAGCTCGTGACACTATTTTCAAGTGAAGGACCTGTAAGTTGTTGGTGCAAAGCACAGGACTCAAGTTTCTCTGGCCCTGGGTAGAAACATGGTATCCCAAAGCGCCACTATCATCTGACAATGGAGTGAGGGTAGAAGACTGACAGCCCTCTCCTGGTGATTCCTGCAATGACCATTCCCACCAAATTCGAATGCCAGGTGCTGGATCTACACGTAGTTTCAACATGACCCCCCTTCCCCAAGGGTTCACCCTGAGATTTAATCCCCATTGTGAGGTAAGAGGATGGGAATTTAATCCCGCTATTGTGTTTAGAGGTGGTGTGTTTGAGGTGATTAAGATTAAAATCATCAGGCAGAGGGAGACACACATGCATGTGCTCTAACAGTGTGGTGCTCTGATCCGCCTCAGGATTCTGCCAACAACAAGGCCAACACCAGATGTGCCTGCTCAACCTTGGACCTCTTCGACCAGCACCCAAGGATGAGTGTGGTCTCACGCATACACGCACACGCCAGAACTAGGGAAGCTGGGGCAGCAACTCATTAGAACTTCTGCGTGTGGTGTTACTGGTGAGAGAAAGGGCATGCACATACACAATGGGCCCTGCACAAGGAAAATGGCAGCTGCCACTTCAAATCCCAGGTGCTCAAGGCCAGACTGATTCAGGCAGCCAGTGTATCTGGGCACAGCCTAGCTGCACACAACCCTGGTGATCATTGGTGGACTGGTTCCTTCAAGGTGAAAGAAAGCCATGTGCGGGAAAATGGGCAGGGTGAGCCTAGGGACACTCTCAACAGGTAAAGTTGATGAGCTGCGCAGGAAAGGGAGACAGTTCCAGACTCTAGGCACATCTTCAGTCCTAGGAGACAGGCACACAAACGTGGTAACTAGTAGTTACAAGACCACCAGCCTCCAAAATTCCCCATAGTTGTGAGAAGGAGGTCTTTCCCAGGTTGGGGTGGCTAGCTAGTAGGTGTGAGGGCAGCCTATAGGACCAGAAGTGATCCACAGCAGAGGACATTATGGGCAGGAGAAACGGGGGCAGGCTATTGGTGAAGGGCGATATGCAACATTAACTCAACCTCTCAAAAACAACCCAAATGCTTTAATAGCTGGCCCCCAGGGCCCAGTCTCATCAAAACCCTTAAATAAGGCAGGAGCCACAGCTTGCCAGCCACCAGCTGAGCTCAGCCCACTACAGGGAGGTTGCCCTAAAAACCTTGGGAAATACCAGAGTCCCCAGTCCAGATCTTCAGAGATCTAGCATTGAGCGGACAGCCTGTCAGGTCCCTGCTGCTTGGTACAACTTTACCGGGGTGTGAGATGCAGCCCAGGTTGGTCACCAATATGAATCAACGCAGGCCTGGGGTCTTCAGCCCAGCCCCAGGTCAGGTCCCTGCACCAGCAGTGGACTCAGGAAGTGTGTGTGAACTATATACATTGTACAACGTACCACTCTAAGGTAACCGGTCCCAAGACACATGGAGACTTACCAGCCTCCGTCTGGTTATCCCACAGCCTGATTGAGGTCAAAGGCCTGTCCTGGGCAAGCAGACCAAATCGTAATAGGTGTATCAGACATCATCCCCACAACAACCCTTGTGAGGTAGGCTGTGTTGTCTTATTCTACAAATGGGGAACAAGGGCTCATGAGAGGTGAAGTGTTTGCCCAGGACACGCAACAAGGAACACAGCAGCCAGGATTCAAGGCCAGGTCGGGTTGGCTCCAATGCCCACAGGTTTTCTCAAGGGAAGCAATCCCTTCTAACACAGACCCTCAAGTTCCAAGAAGTCTCTGCCCAGTCCGGTGGGCCCAGCCCTATTATCCATTCCCAGCTTTGGGCAGCTGGATGTCAAGACAGGTCCCCAGATGACTGTCCCAACAATATTAGGTACCGATGCTAAAGGTGATGGCTCTGGCTGCCCAGGAGCTGGGGGTGAGGCGAAGGCCGGTCTGGTCCTGAGGCCTTGTGGCCCCAAGTAGGCAGTGCCACACCATTGAGCCAGGCGGTTTCCAACAGGCTGCGGAAGCGTGCCCTCAGGGTAGGACCTGGTGGGCTAGTGCTGGCACCAGAGCTAGACGAGGGATCACGTGACCCTTCCCCAGTGGTCCTCTCTGCTTTCTCAGGGCCAGGTGTCGGTGGCTTCCTCCCTGGCTTCTTGACCTTGGGGGTTGGTGACTTACGAGCCAGGGCTTGGCTTTCTGGCTCATCTCTGGTCACTGTGGATTCTGATGGGGATAAAGTTCTGGCCTCAGTGTTAAAACCACCTACAAAAGGAAAGCATAGTCAGACTTCAAAATTCAAACTTCAAGGTTCCACCTCCTAGTCTCAAAGTCACCTAGAACAAGGTTTTGCTTGCCCCAGAATGGCAAATGGTACCCCCAGTGTCACAGGCAGCCCTTCTTCACACTGACCAGACCAGTGGGAGCTTGATGCAAATACGCTCCTTCCCAAGAACACCAGAGCTCCACCTGCTGAGGACACAGCTCAGAAGTGACTGCTCAGGAGCAAAAATAAGGAAAGGAGGGCTTGCAGGTCAGGAAACACTGGCTGGGCATCTCCCCACATAGCTGATTACAGCGTGGAAAGAGAAGGCTATGCCATATGAGAGCCATCAACTTTCTGCCACAAAATCCCCAGGGTAGGAGCCAAAGACCAGACTGTTGTGAAGACAGTCAAGCTGGAGGACAGCCCCTTAGGCTGCCAGGAGAGCACACGAACCTAGACAGAAGCAAACCTGATATGCAACCCCTATGAAAGGGTCATTAGACACTCCCCTAAGGGGTCATGAGAACCACTGCTCTAGGGGTACTCATAGCTCAGGAAGAGAATGTGGGATAAGGGTTTTCAAACCTAACCAGTGGCAGGCAGCCGAGCTTTAACTGGATCAGAGTTCTAACAAGCAGACCAGGAAAGGGACCTGGTCCTCTGGCCCCAGACAGGGCAAGAATCGGAATGTGGGCCAGCTAGGGGCCCCATTCCATAGCAGTACTTTGCCTCAGGCCTTCTCCACCTTGACCTGGGCTGTACTGGGTCAGGGAGGCCCAGATAGTTAAAGTAGAAGAATATATTGCTCAGGAAAATGGCTGGGTAAGGGACTAGGTGGCAACAACGTGTGGCAAGAAAGACTTCAGAACCTAGAATCAGTTTATTGACCAAACAAAAGCCATGCCACCCTTTGTGTCCCCAACACACAACATTTAAAAAAAAAAAAAAGCAAGTTCCACAGCTGAGCTATGGTGGCATATGACCATAATCAGGTACTAGGTACAAGAGCATCACGAGTTTGAGGATACTCTTGAGTGCCACTGAAGAACCAGGACAATGCATCTCTGTAGAGGACAAGAGAACCACAAACAATTCTCCGATTCAGGGCAACATGTGTGCGTGCAAGTGCCAGGAGACCAGAGAAAATGTACATTCAAAGGTATATGCCTATGTGGAGCCCTGTCTGATCCTGTGTGTGGGAGGTGAACAAGAATGAAGTGAATTGTTCAGGGCTACTGCTCAAATGAAGACACCAG